ACGTGCCCGACGTCCCGCTGCTGCGGTCCGCCGAGCTGCACATTGGTCGGGGGCGCGCCGGGGGAGGAGGGGTCCCCCGGACCCCCTCGCGCGGGGAAGGGAGTCGCGACGGGAGGCTTCTTGCTGTGTTCGGCTTCTGGGGGCCCTCACCGGGCCCCGGTACCGTCAAAGAAACGACTCGGGATGAAAAAGCGGTGCCGGTGAAGGAGTCCCAACGATAACGTTTGCTACAGCAATGACGACGACAACCCCTGCAACCACCAGAGTTTTGGCCTTGAGATAGCGATCTCCGGCTAGCAGCCTGACTGTATCGAACAGCTCCATGGCACCGAGCGGGGCAGCACTAACTAAAGTGCAACGCTGGATCAAACGTGAGGCGCCTCTTGAACCCTCATAACTTGAGCCCAAACTCGGGGGTTGCCAAAGTTGCCCCTGGCCCAAGGTGCCCCCCAGCTTTTCGCTCTACTTTGGAGCCCGTGGGGCCCTCTGGGCCTCGTGAGAGCTGCGAACTTCAAGGTTCAAGGTTTCTGTCTGCTTTCCTTGTTCTTTGAGCCTCCAGGAGTGCTCCTCGTCGCCACAGCCGGATCCGCCTCGACATGATCTACGAAACGCACCCAAGGAGCCCGAGCCCAGACGTCCAACGCATTGAAAAATTCAGCAGGGAGGTGTTTCATCGTTTTCGGTATTCGGGATGTGAATCCAGCCTTAGGGAAGGGGTCGGGACTTCCCGAGGCCCCGTATTGAAAAAAACAATGTGTAGGATCCCTGGGCTATCGAGAAAGCCCAAACATGGATTGAGGCGCGTGGATCAGCGCCGGATGCCACCTCCATACAGCATCTGCGCGCTCCGTGGTCCACTCCGGCGGCATGGGCGCCCTGTTTCGGGGGGGGGTCCCGATCCGTGGACGTGGCGCCCGCGCGCGAGATCCACGGATACCTGGTCCGCGTGGGCGTCGCCGAGATGCTGCATCGGAGTTCAAGAGACGGGGGTCAATGCAAACGGGGGTCCGCCAGAGCGCTGGATCTTGCAGGATCCTGTAGAGCCAGGGGTGCATTGACCCGGGCCTGGGTGCAGGATCTCGCAAGACCCTGCAGGATCCTGCGAAGCCTGACCGACCCAGGTCCGGATATGACATTGGTACGACCCTCCCCGACTGCACCCCGCCTCAGCGCCCCCCCGGACGCTCGGGTGTTGCTAGAAGTGCCCCCGGCCCAAGGTGCCCCCAGGAATTCCAAAGAGGACGCCGCGACCTTTTAGAGCACCCCTCGCGAGGCCCAGGGGGCCCCAGGTCGGGCATGTCCTTTTACAGGAGGAATGGTCAAAAATTGTCCCCCGCCCCCCCCAAAAAATGGAAACGATTTTTGAATATTGCGAAGGCCTTACGGCCAGTGCCGCCGACCCTGAGAACGACGAAGATAAAAACGAGAGGGGGGCAGGGGGAGGAGGATGAGTGGGAGGTGGAGGAAGGGTGGGGGACGTGGATGAGGGAGGAGGAGGGGGGGAGAAGGACGTGGAGGAGAAGCAAGAGGAGGAGAAGGAGGCAGAGGAGCGCAGGAGGAGGGGAGCAGAGGGGGGGAGGAGGAGGAGGAGGAGGAGGAGGAGGAGGAGGAGGAGGAAAAGGAGTAGGAAAAGGAGGAGGAGGAGGAGGAGGACGAGGAGGAGGAGGACAAGGAGGAGGAGGAGGAAGAAGAAGAAGAAGAAGAGGAAGAAGAAGAAGAAGAAGAGGAGGAGGAGGAGGAGGAGGAAAAAGAGGAGGAGGCCAGAGGCTTTCTTGGGACAGCCTGGAGCTCTCTTGAGACCGGCTTGGGCCGTCCAGGGCTCCTCTTGCGCCGTCTCGAGGCACTCTTGGAGGCCTCCTGGGCAATTTGGGGCTCTCCTGGGCTGTCTTGCCAGCAATCTTGGGGGCGTCTTGGGCCGTCTTGGAGGTGTCTTGGGCCGTTTGGGGGCCCTCTTCGGCCGTTAGCGGACCCTCTTGGGGGCCTCTTGGGCCGTCTCGGGGCGATCTTGGGGGCATCTTGGGCCGTCTTGGCGCGTCGGGAAGCGGAAGAGGCAAGAACGCCAAAATCACAAACGAATGGGAAATCTATGAATTTTGCTTCTTGGGGCTCTCGTGGGAAAGCTCCTGGAGGCCTTTGGGGGCGCTTTGCAGGCCTCTTGGGTCGTCTGGAGGCCGTCAAGGCGTCTTGGACAGATCGTTCGGCGATTCGGGGTTTTCTTGGACTATCTTTGGGGCCTCCTGGGGCATTATTGGCCCGTCTTAGGGCTTTTTGGGGCTCCAGGACTCCCCGGGGCGTCTGACCCCCCCCCCCCCGGACCCCCCCAACCCCCCCACCCCCCCGCGGGGAAGGAATCGAAGGGAAGGGGCTTCCCTTCGACGCAAGTACGACGTTGCTCAACTTCGCTTTGGTTGGCGCGCTGAGGAGGTCCCTGGAAGAGGGGAGAGCTTCGACGAGCCCAGGGAAAGGGGGAGGCAAGGAAAGGGGACGACAGAGACGATGACCAACGAATGACGAAGATGACGACTTGAACGGACAAGCCCCCCCCACACACGCCGACAGGGTCGGCGGATTCTCAATTGTTCGTCAAATCCGCCTGCAGGCCAGGGGCACATCTAGCAACCCCCGAGACGTAGACGCCGCGGCGAGGGTGCAGGCGGGCGCCGCCGAGCTGGCCTCGTTCCTGCCGCCGGGCCTGCCGCCGCCGGGCGGCCCCGGCCGGGAGCGCCCCGGGGCCGCGTGAGGCCAGGCGCCGCTGTGCGCCAGGGCCGCGGGAGAGCGCGGCGGGAGCGCGGCGCCGCGGCGCACGGCGTGGAGAGCACGGCGGACGTTTCTTGTCTCGGCCACGCGCAGAGGGCCTGTCCCTCCACAGGAGGGATCTTCGGGAATGGTTTGAGATAGTGCTGGGACGGGGTGTTTTTCCCAGCCATCCTGTGGTGTTGGGTCCTCGCTTCGAGGAGGCAGCGCCCCGCGCTCCTCCTCCTCTCTTCCTTTCTTCCTCCCCCTCCTCCTCCCTCTCCTCCTACCTCCTCTCCTCCCTGCCTCTGCTCTCCGCATGCCCATCCCATTTGGGCACACCCCTCACACATTTCGTGGCCCCATAAAGAGCTCCACCGAAGGCCCCAATTGGAAAGTTCGCATGGCACCGCCGCCCCATTTCTGCACACCGCTCACACGTTTCGTGGCCCCATAAGGGCCCAAGGCCCCGCCCCATTTCGGCACACTCCTCACACGCTTCGTGGCCCCATAGGGAGCCCCACCTAAGGCCCCAGTGGGAAGGTTCGCATGGCACCGCCGCCCCATTTCGGCACACATTTCACACGCTTCGTGGCCCCATAGGGAGGTCCACCGAAGGCCCCAGCGGGAAAGTTCGCATGGCACCGCCGCCCCATTTGGGCACACCCCTCACACGCTTCGCGGCCCCATAGGGAGCTCCGCCGAAGGCCCCAGTGGGAAAGTTCGCATAGTACCGCCACCCCATTTCGGCACACCCCTCACACGTTTCGTGGCCCCCCAGGGAGCTCCACCGAAGGCCCTTGTGGGCAAGTTCGCATGGCACCGCCGCCCCATTTCGGTACACCCCTCACACGTTTCGTGGTCCCGTGGCACCGCCGCCCCATTTGGGCACGCATTTCACGCGTTTCGTGGCCCCATGTGGAGCTCCACCTAAGGCCTCAGTGGGAAAGTTCGCATGGCACCGCCGCCCAATTTCGGCACACCCCTCACACGTTTCGTGGCCCCATAGGAAGCTCCACGGAAGGCTCCAATGGCGACGTTCGCAGGCGTCCCACCCAACTCATGTCGGCACACCCTTCACAGGTTTCGTGGCAGAAGCTATACCGCGTGCGCGCCACCCTCTTTCGTCTCATCTCCCTCGCGACACTCGAAGCTGCATATGGTTGGGTCCTTCGTCAGGTTAATGTGAACTGGTTTTGAATAGTTGTTGAGTATTTTTATTTGTCCTCCAAAATGCGCCTGTAGGAGGACATGCCCGACCTCCGGGTAGGGAGAGGGGGGAAGGCTTCTTAGAAGCACCCCTGCTTCTTAGAAGCACCTCCAGGCGGTCAGCGCCCTCTCAGAAGCAGCCTCCCTCCAAGAAGCCTTCCCCCCCTCTCCATACCCCCCCTTTGCGCGCCGCCATATTTTGCTACGGGCAGAGTCCACGAGGAGGACTCGCGACTCTCCTAAGGTTACCCTTGCGTCCCTGGAGTGTTGGTAGCCCGTCGCGTAAAACATGCGAACTGACCCTTGCGTCCTTACCGCCCGTCCTCAGTGTAGATTTTGACTGCAGTTTGGGCCCCAGGCCGTTGACAAACGCATTGGAAAATTACTCGACTCGAAAATCCCCATATGTGGACATCAGATTCCTGTCACGTGTCGCTGAGGACTTTTGTCTATGAGCATCTGGGTGTGAGAGCGATCCCGCGTAGACGACAGGCGTGGCAACGAAGACATCGACAGCGAGGACATCAGGGACGTCCTCCTCCCCTGGACATCTCTCAGGAGAGACATTGGAAACACAAGTGGAGGAGCGAGGGGGATTTCCTCTTGCTGTTTTCCCCGCGGCTATTCACGCAAGCGCGCATGGCGTTGCTGCGCACGCTTTCTGGCGTGCTACTCGCGGCGGTTGCTCGCAGTTGGGGTGCCCAAGTGCCACGCCGGCTTTACCGCGGTTACACGATTGAATCTGCGAGTGGATGATATGAGTGCGAGCGAGTCGGAGTGTGAGTGGATCCAGGTACGATCGAGCCGGAGTGTGAGCGGGTCTGGATA